TGGCTGAGAATTAGCCATCTCGTGCACTATGGTGATGTTTTGCAGTGTTTTGCACATAACACAGTTGGTAATATACCACTATTGGCTCTAAACATCCCAACGCAGTGGTATTACATTGAACACCTGCTGGGTTCGTGGAACTCAGTTGTGTTAACACCACTCATAACAACTAAGCCATGTCTTTTTCAATAAGTGTCCTATAACTGGGCAATTAAGTACCAGAAGAAGCACCACTAATGTCTCCAATGGGATATAGAGTGCATCACAACTGGTGATAATATACATATGATGGCATCTCATCATGATCATGGCATAAACACTGCCCTCATCTTTTGGTGATTTTCAGTTTGACTGCTACCAGAGCCAGCAACTTAAAACAGAATGAGTGGCATATTTGCCCTGGTGGGAAACTGGAAAGAGTAACATATGCTCACCATGGATCAACCTGTGCAAATAAGAGTGAGAGCAAAGTTGCCCTTCAAGAACTACAGGTTGCTGGGTTTTCCTTCCAGTTACACCCCTATCACCACCATGTAGCCTTCTCACCCTCTTTCCCTCCACGAATCCCAGGTCCAACAATGGTGGGGCGCCCCACGAGCGCAGCCTCCGGAGATGGTCACGCGCCCGACCCGGCCCGTCCCGTCCCTCCTCGCCCACCCCTGCCCGCTCCCCACACATCGCCACCACAGTCACAGGGCACAGGCGCCGGTCTGGCGCGCAGTCAAACAGCCAGCCGGCGGCACACGCGCGCAGGGGGGGGCGTCACACGGCGCCAGCGACACACACACGAACACGGGGGCACCGCCGCCGGTGAGGCCGGCCCGAGGGGAGGCGGAGCGGCGCGCCCGGGCCGCCGCCGGCCACTGACCGTCAGCGAACGGGTCGAGCCGGTCCGGCGAGATGACCAGCTGACGCCGGCGCGCGCGGTACTCGTCCTCACGGTCGGCGATGGTCGGCCGCCGCCGGTCGGCGAACGGGTCATAGTCCTGCTCCGCCTGCCGGGCAGCCAGCGAGGACGAGGGTCAGAGGGGTGGCGTCGCGGGCACGGACCATGTGAGCAGGGCCGCGGTCGGCCGAGTACGATGGAAACTGTGGCCTCGCATGAGATGGTTAATAATGACTCACTAGGGGGCCAAGCAATTATGGGAGTACTGCAGTGACTGATGTGCAAACACCTGAGGAGCATCTGTTAGACCCAGAGGCTACATGCCATATAGGTAATGATTTAAGCTTTGTGACCTCAGGACCCTTAATAATCATGGGAAAATATTCATTCTACTTGGAAGTTGGCAGCTCATGCTACTAAACCAGTGCACAGATAACATACAGTAACTATCACCTGAGGAATGTCATTGAGGAGTGCAGCTGGAGCGTTGAAACTCCGCTTGTTCTGTCCATATGCTGGCTCCTCATCATCTGCCTGAAAAATGAGCATGGATGCACAAATATGATCACATAGCTCAAATGTGGCTACCACAGTCACTAGTGATTACATACACACACATATACCTTCCACACCATTTTGACCCAATGCTAAGACCAAGCATTTTCAACATATCTGCTACCAGTTGCCACTCATAAAAGGGCTCAATATTTATCAAAAATGATATGAATTGCAAAAACCACAGTGAATTACATCTTAAAGACTCGACAACAATGCACATACTTACATCATCCACCTCATTAGGAGCAATGGAGGTCACATATCCCTCAAACTTCCCACTGCCTCCATAGATTTCCTGGTCAAAGTATCCTGAATTCCCCAGCACAACTCTGTCCTTCTCAGCGACCTCCTGCAGACCTTTCTTCTTGTTCTGCAGCTCCCGGATTTGTGCTTCAATATCTGCAGCAATAGATATCATGAGAACACAATGGTAGACAAACAAATGCTCATTCACATGTGAATTGGAAAGATTGTAACAAACATACAGTAGATAACATGAAAGGCATAAGATACAAACTCATGATAGCAGAATGGGTGAAAACATCTGATGGCTTCTTGACAATGCATAACTTTTTTCTCAAATCCCTTATAGTACTCCATATAGCCTGAATGAACTAAATTCATACACATGGCATAAATGGAAAGAATCCCCCTGTGCATAATACATCTAACTAAACTGATGACTTACAATGGTTCCCAGTCCATGCCAACATGCTATCATGGTTCAAATATTGCAGTTATCACATGAGAGCAAAATTTACATCCCTGGTGCATTCTGATCCCACAGTGCCAACCACATCATCCACAGTGATATGCATTGCTCGGCTCATGAGGTGTATGGACTTGATAAATGCATAAATACCAAATGAAGGGTGATATGCATAGAGATGATGCAACTAATAACTTCACCAGTCCACAAATTTGAGCCTTGTTACAGTGTAAAAGAAAATCAATCCCTCTAGCACTTTTCTAACTAAGCTTTTTAGCCCTGCCTACCCTAATCCCAACATACACAAACCCTTCTACAGTGGGCAGTTGGTACCTAGACCTACGTTATCCCTGAAATGGTTGCACTGAGAAAATTCAGCTTAACATAATCAATTTAAATAATGAGCTTTTATCACCAATAAATTGATAATGCCTGGAAAAAATATATGATATAAAGACTTCCAAACACCTCACATCTGAACAAATTGTCATTGCCAATCCTCAATTTTTTTCCTGTTGTTTGTGAGCCAATTCTGTTAGTCATGTCTCCTACGATGGCTAGAATTAGGGGAGAATGACATTGCAACTAATTATTCATGCCACCACTTTCATCTAAAATGAATGATGCTGACAGGTGATCGAACACCACTTTGGTGTAGGGATATAATGAAAAAGTTTAGGTGTCCATCATTACAGCTCAGTTCAAGATCCTGCAAAGGGTGTAGGTGTACTTTCCTACCTAACGTTAGAAAAAATCATTGCACACCATTCGTCGTGTTCAAGGCGGCACATATCGTAAATCATCTCAAAACAGGTAGAATCATGCTCCTACCTTCGAATTTCAATAACTACGATGGCGAGCTCCCGAGCGCCGCGCGCACCGCACCGCCTGGACTCCCCAGCGCCGTTTCTGCGTTGCCGTTGTGTAAATACAATATTTCTGCTTACCAAGAACTCTACAAAATGTACGGGACCAAGGTAAACCATTCGTCGTGTTTAAGGCAGAACATATCGTAAACAATTTCAAAACAGATAGAATCATGCTCCTACCCTCGAATTTTAATAAATATGATAGCGAGCTCCCGAGCGCCGCACGCCCCGCACCGCACTGCCTCGACTTCCAAGCGCCGTTTCTACGTTGTTGCGAAAGCACAATATTTCTGCTTATCAAGAACCATAAAACATGTACGGGACCAAGGAAACAATAATAAAGCAACCAAAATCGTTTCTTATCGAGTTTAGGTACATTTATGAAACACGCAGGCCAGAATAGTCCAGAACATATCCTAACCTAACCTAACCTAACCTAACCTAACCTAACTTAACCTAACCTAACCTAACCTAACCTAACCTAACCTAACCTAACCTAACCTAACCTAACCTAACCTAACCTAACCTAACCTAACCTAACCTAACCTCCCCACCCTATATCCCCTTCAACCCAGCATCTCATTGGCATCCGTGTTCCATGCCATATATAGGTGTCATATAGTGAGCTTTTATTTAGCTGCCATGTTCTCATTTTGCTTTACATTCCCCACCCAATCCCCCTGCAACCCATGGTCCCGTTGGCGTCGAGGATCAAATTTCATGGATTCTTGCTACCTTGTCGGGGATACATTTTTATGGTTCGCAGTAAATATGGTTTATAGTTATAGTATGGTTTATATAGTATAGTTTATAGTTATAGTTATGGTTTATAGTATGGTTCACAGTTAATATGGTTTATATGGTAAATATGGTTATGGTAAATATGGTTTGTTTAGTAAATATTTTTATGGTTCGCAGTTAGGTTATGGTTGTCCTGCCTTAAACATGATGAATGGTTTACTTTGGTCCCGTACATTTTGTACAGTTCTTGGTACGCAGAAATATTGTATTTACGCAACGGCAACGCGGAAACGGCGCTGGGGAGTCCAGGCGGTGCGGTGCGCGCGGCGCTCGGGGGGCCCGCCATCGAAGTTATTGAAATTCGAAGGTAGGAGCATGATTCTACCTGTTTTGAGATTCTTTACGATGTCATGCCTTAAACATGACGAATGGTGTACAATGATTTTTTCTAATGTTAGGTAGGAAAGTACACCCTGACCCTGCAAAGTGCAACAAGGTCTTACACTTCAAACATTTTTTTGTCCCTATTTGTGAAATTGCAACCCTTTATGGAACTCACTACATCCTCTTCAGAAATCCACACAGCAAATATAAGCTTTTCATTTTGACTGCCTCATAAAAGAATGTCATCAGCATTCGCCACATCACCAAGCCTCTAGCAAAAATAAGCATACATTTTCGATTCCAACGTTGCTGCACATATCTCAAAAATACGAAAATTTAAGAAAATGCCCAGCTTTTGACCAAAACGTATTCATTCTAGACGAACACGGCGCACAACATCCCATGTTGCCCTTCCCTCGGGTGGAAAAGCGGTACAATCACAAGAAGACGGGCAAAACAAATACTGCAGAACATGAATAATGAAGGTTGCACCGAACGATGCCTAAAATTGACATGCTCCATTACCGTCATGCGTTTGGCGAGACGCCATCTTGCACCCTCCTCCTGCTTTCCGCTATGCGCATCGATTGCGAACTTTTTGTTCTGTTGACCTCCGCAGGAGAGGGAATCCTTTACGCTTTCTCCTGCTGCTGCTCAATATTTACTTGTTTTGAGGAAAAAATAAATTTTCAAAACGTTTTATTATTTAAAAATCTACTACAGTTACATGTACAAACTGAGAACGGTTGATGACAAGATTTGTTTTCATGAACGTAAAATGTGTTAGCAAATATTTACGTGATCGCTGCACATTGCGTCGCGTATGAGTGAAGCGTCGGTTTGAGCGCGATTCGTGGATCAAGCGCAATTCGCTATATGGTCGTATTTGACCTGGTGGGGTCCATCCGAAGACCATTTGTAACCCAGCGTGGGTTGTGCATGTGTGTTTTAGTGGATATTGCTTTCTCTCGATTGAGGGTTGTTTCATATGCACTGTGGGCATCAGCAGGTTCTTTTGTACATTTATCGGCACATGAGACCTCAGCGTGATGCATATCCGTCGTGCGTGAGTTAGCGATGTGCCCTTTTTGTGAGTTTTCGTTGTGGAAATTGTGCTGAAAAACAGAAACAATGTTTCCTAAAAGGGGATTGAGCAAGAAAGAGTATGATGAAAAGAAGAAGAAACATGAGCAGGAGAAAGAAGCTGCCAAGGTATGTACATGTTGTATTTGGTTATGCACGCAAATCTGGGAAGCAGTACTGTTACCAACCAGGGTAATGGATAAAATGCTGTCCTTTCACATACATTGTGAAAGACATTGACTTATGATTCTGTCCATGTGATGTTGCCCAGTAACCATTTGGTACTATCATTTCACAATTTGTTTCATTGCTAGGGCAAAGGAGCACATAACCTGTTTGATCCCAAACTCAAGTGCTGCCAATACCAATGCCAGTGCTGACAAAGAGCTCATCTTGTGGCTTACAGACAAATCACAGCAATTTTATGGCAATATTAGAATGTGGAAGCTGTGTAATCTGCCGGTATTCAAAAATTCAATTCCCATAGATCACAGGTTAAGGTTCAAAAATGCTGTTAGCTTGTCACATTGATAGTGTTACTGGAGCCTGCTAGTTATCTTGGCCAAGATAGGATATAACCCAGGATCCATCAGCCTTTTGATTGGGATCTCACCAATTCTCACTCAGGAACTTTGTGGACCATGCACTGTGCAGAGTAGAAACTGAATAACAGTTGTAAATGTAAATTCACTAGGTGATGGGGGTCTGTCATGAGGGACAGGCTGACTCAGTGTGTGGCAGGGTCTAGCCAGCTGAAGAGAGTCACATGAGCCACATAACCAAATGCTTATACATTTCTGCACAAATGAATCACTTGTAATAATAAAAGGATGAAGATGGAACACATTGACCTAGCAAGGGAATCACATGTGTATGGTCAGTCCTGGCTTAAGCCAGGCTGTTGGTGCATGCTACAGCTGTATAAACTAGAGTTATATTAAATATGTGGTATGCTTCTTCACTGAATCAAGGGTACATTAAGCTTCATTCATCAAGCTTGATCTGGAGACTGACATGCACTCAGCTTGTCAACAGCATTCCTAGTATGTCATAAGGTCCATAAGCATTTTCGTAATTTATGCTTATTGACTCTGCCAGTTGCTTCCATGAATGTCCAGATCATATCATGGATGCAGTGTGCAACATACGTTCAGTTTTCAAGGTGCTGGACAGGGTTACAAAATGCACTTAGCTGAGTGAGTAAGATGGCACACCTGTGTTTCAATGGTTGGCAACTGGGATGGCAGGAATGTCAGTTTTACAACTATTTACAACAATTATTTGTTTTATGACATTACAGCCCTGGCTTCTCATTTACTGCCTCTTGCCTCTCCCCTTGCTCAAAATTGACAAATCACCACCAAACTGGGAGATCAGCCCAGCATCTGAGTGCATCAGGCTTGATGAGTTGGCCAAGCATGCCATCTACATAGGTTTGAGGTCAAAGGGCTACTGATAAGCCCTTCCAGATTGTGTGTAGAGTTCACATGCAAAGCAGGAATATGGTAGCATGAATGAATATATGTATCATACACACCAAACAGGATGGATGTTACATTGTTATAGTACACACTGGTTCCAAGCCAGCCAGATTGCAAATGTGTGTGGGATCCTGTCTGCTCAAAAGGAAAGAAACATGAAATTTTGTACCACTCACCAGATAATGCTGCACAGCTCAATGATTGAGTGAATATTAGAGGATGTGACAAGTGCAGCAGGCTCAAATCTGTGACCAGTCCCATTGCAAGATGAGGTTTGCAGTGGCATAAAAGATGTTGATTTGCCCATTATAGTTTTAATTGTTCAAGCATTTGCCCAAAGGAAGGTATTTTTCAGACAAATTTTAACAGCAAAATTACCTTCCAGAGAACAAATTAGCCTACACAACTTTTACTAATTGTTGTTGTACATGAAACAAGTGAGTACAGTCTGAGGAGTACCACTATAGAGAAAAACAAACTGCATCTACTTGAAAGCAATGTCTCCTCCCTAGTGAGATCCTGGCACCACACCAGATCAGACAGCTTCTGATTCACTACCACACTGCTCTGTCCCAAACACCAACTACACAAACCTAATAGAGGCACCAGGCAGATGGAGTTTGCATGGGAGGAATTGTTCTCAACTCCAGTAAATCATTAAGAGTAATCAGCATAGACAAGCTTGACATTAGCTGGCTCAACCTGCTGTTGGTTTTATTAATTGATGCTTACAACAGGATGAGTGGACATGAACTTCCATTGACCAGTTATCTGCAATCAGAAACATTTTTTCACCATATGAAAGCTGCTGTTCAAAGTGGCCAATCATGAGGGAAAGAAAGCTGTTTTGTTCCTCATTCAAAGTGTTTGTCACCTGCTGCTTGTCATGTACCAGTTTTCTTCCGCATGGAAAAAACCCAAGTAACTGTTTAGCCTCAGGCAGCTATAATAAACAATACATGTCAACTTCATTCACTTTCCACCCTCTCTGCTACCTCGCATCTCCATGTATGGCATCACAAGAATGCTGAGGAGTAGGGGCAACTCGGTGCTCGCCTCCAGCTTTCAAAAGTTTCTGAGTGCACCACACATATGTTGGGGGACGGGGCGCGTCCATATTTCGTGCACATGATCTCGGCGTTACCCCCCTCCTCGGGAGAGGGGGGGGGGGGGGGGTGGCATGCGGCCGCCCGCATGCGTTTTGTGATTGAGGGTGACGGTGGTTGCCGTTGGCGATGTTATTGCGCTCCATCGGCGTTGATTTATGTATACGACGACTTTCGTCGGTAGAGAAAACAACACTTGGGCTCAGCAAACAAAGCTAATGATGTTTTTATTGAGTGTTTTTGTTTTGCCAGGCTGGTCTCTCATTTAGCTACCCATCACAACATTTGGATACCGTCGTTGTTTTTTTGTCCTCACCATCGTCGTAAGACACGCAACTATTTGCCCGTGCCTCGACATTCTATGGGACCTGCAGGCAGCAGTTTTAAGAATTTTACTTTAACCTGTTTAATGTGTTCTGTGCATGCTTTGTATTATTGAAACAGTTTCCACTCGATTTGCCCCTTAGCAGTAGAAGTTTACAGGCTCGAAATTGCCTCCTCATAACATGCAGTGGAATTGTTAATCATGGCTTTTGTCCACTTTTTTATTGTTTTGCCTAGTTAAATAAAAACACTCGAGCAGATATCTCTGTATGGATAGCTCACATCTTAGGGCTCCTTATTTCACAGACAGTTTATAAGGCACAGATCGTCCACCACACATTGGTTCACGTGGCCAACAGGCTCATTACGTGTGGGTCGTGGTGGGGAATATATGACAGCTGAATATTTTTGAGGGACATGAAATCAAACCTAATGTGCCATCATATGTATATAATACACAGTTCACATGCACATTACATCTGATCCCAGGTGATATCCTGGCATTTTTCTTTGCTGTCCTTTCCTGTTGCAATGCCTTGGCTGCTTGTAAACTTCTCAGAAATGTTGTTTCTCCTCTCTGGGCATGCATCAACTCAGCAAACCTGCAGTATCACAGGTGGACACTGTTGGTGGTGTAATGTGTGATTCAATGTGCAACTGTCTGCCTTTTTTACCAAAATTGTTTGACTTTGCGCAGGCTTTTGAGGAATTTGTGCAGACCTTCGATGAAGAGCCAGCGGCGTCTAAGGGAAAGGTGTGGGTGAAAGCTGGAACATTCAATGCAGGCACCAGAGGTAAGATGACCACACATATTGGCATAAAGTTTTGTGCTTGCTGAGTGTCTTGGTGAGAGTTGTGGTTTCAGCTGGTCATGATAGTTCGAAGCTATCCGATTGGTTGAAAGATAAGTGTTATGTACCAACTGATGTGTGATATGATAATAATGGCTATGTAAAGCCAAATACCATGGATTTGGAGTGTGTCTGGATCTACTGAATGATGCGGAATGTGGCAAGATTGGCTATGTAAAGCAAATTCCCGTGGATGTCAAGTGTGTCGGGAACTCTTGTTAAGGTTCTGGTTTACATGCACTGTTTCATTCTTGCAAATGAACAAAGCTTAACAGATTCACTTGATTGTTTGGTTTTCAGAGGAAACCACCAAGGAAAAAGGCCAGCTGTACAAGCCCAGTTCTCGGTTTGAGCCTTCTGAACGCAAACCCTCACCGGAGCCGACCAGGAGCAGAATCGAGAGAATCGTCAGGAAAAAAGATGGCAAAAAGAAGAGCAATTTGGAATTGTTCAAGGAGGAGCTTAAAAGGTGCAAGTTTATACATGACAGCTGAAAAGACTCATTGGCACATTCCCTCACACTCCGGCGTAGTGTGCGAGCTACATTCTGCAGAACAGCGGACGTTTTTGCGCTTCGCAACCGCCGCCATAAGATAGCTGCAGGTCCAGTATGTATGTGCTACTTAGCTAACACACCGTTACCACCCGTCAGTTGTTAGCGTCACACGAACCTTGTTCTGGGTTGCCTGCATGCGTGCATCGCCCAGTGGCTCCGGCTGTGACCGTCACGCGCGCGTACCCGCTGCAGGATCCAGGAGGAGCGCGAGGAGCGGCACCGGCTGAAGGAGCAGATGAAGGAGGCCACCTCGTCGGGCCGGGTGTCCCGCTTCGACACGCCGGAGCTGCCGCCCATCACGCCGTCGCCGCTGAGTCTCGGTACGCGGACGACAGGCGGCCGACCGGTCAGCTGCCACCGCCCCCCCCCCCCCCCCACACACACACCGTGATCCTTCCGGCGCGGTCAAAGCCGGCTCATGCTGGCCGATCAGCTGGCGACGTGTGTCGTAGTGTGACTTGCCGTGCGTTTTTGCTTAGGGGACGAGCTTAATTCAGGCGATGCCGTGGTGAGCTGCCTGCAACGTTAGGTTGTGGTGCAGGACGCGATCCGGGGGGATTGCTCGGTGTTTGTCGCTGTCCATATCGCTGCGGACACGCGCCCTGTCGTTTCCTTGAATGGCGCGGTTTTCGTGAGTGAAGGACGTCGCCCAAGCAGGCCTTTATGGTTGGTGTGGTTTCAGATGTTCCCAACCCGTATGGCTCGTTCGACAGCGGGGATCCGACCACCACTAACTTGTACCTGGGCAACCTCTCCCCCAAGGTAAGTCCTACACTCAAGCGGCAAGGTGACCCCAGGCTTTCTGTTGTCACCGTTCTGTAAAGCTTGGATTGAGCTCATTGTGCTTGAGCGCACCGACAGCATAATTATAAGCTTTTGAGGCAGCATATGTTCATTTTGTGACAGTTTGTTAGGATTCTTTCAGATTTGCGCATTTAGGAACGGGACCCAGTCTGCCATAGATGGAGCAGTGCTCATGGAAACAAATAATGACACAGACCTATCCGAATCTTTGACCTATCCGAATTCCGAATTTGTGTATAGAGCTTCCGATGAATGAGGACCTCTAACAAAATACGTCAGTCTTCTGTCATCAGTCACGAAAAAGGTGATGGGATTGTTAGCAGGCATTTGCTAGCAGTTAGCATTTAGCTTGTTGCAAAGGATGCGTGCTGCCCGGCATTAAGTTACGCGTCCATGGCTAAATATGGCGATGTGATGCGATGGAGCCGCAGAACGCAGCAAGAACATGCACGGAATCAATATTTGCCAGATGGCGAATAACGCGAGTTGACTCGGCGACAAAGGAGCTTTCAGCAGAACGTTGCAATTTGCTCTGCGCTTGAAATACTATCGCGTTACGACCATCGGGAGGCAGACCAGGATATTCACACACAACGTGAAACTAGATGCCGTTGCACCAAATTTCACGTCAATTCGTACTCAGTATTCCCTTTCATAATCTTCAGAAAGTCTTAATCGCCACCTGGCCACGCCGGCGGTGGGCGCCTCACCATTTGTTCGGTTTGTTTATGTTGGCTGCCTCGTGGGTCAGCCGTAGTGACGTCATTGTTGGCATCCTGTTTTCCATAAGAGTGATGCGTCGACGTCAGCCCCCCCCCCCCCCCCCCGCCTCCCCCGAGTTCACCTTTCTTGCATCGGTGGGACAGGCTGGCTTTTATAGCCTACGGCTTTATTATATCCCTCACGAAACCCCACCATTCTCCGGACTGCTGTTCCCTGCGCTATGTTTGCCCGCACGACAGCGAGTGTGTGTGCCTCCCAAATTCATCACCGCCCACGCGGCAGTGAGTGTTTGCGTCCCCCGGAGTCATCACCGCCCACACGGCAGTGAGTGCGTACTTGCCGCCCCGCCCGCGCACCTCCGGCCGGGCCGGGCCGGCGCACGTGACGTCACAGTACAGTGGCGCCGCCTGCCGCCAGCTGTCGGAGCAGCGGCTGATGGAGATATTCGGCCGCTACGGCCCGCTGGCCAGCATCAAGATCATGTGGCCCCGCAACGACGAGGAGCGGCTGCGCGGCCGCAACTGCGGCTTCGTCGCCTTCATGACGCGTCGCGATGCCGAGGCTGCGCTGGAGGACCTCAGCGGTGGGTCTCGAGCGGGCGGGCGGGCTGGAGGACCTCAGCGGTGGGCTGGAGGACCTCAGCGATGGGTCTCGAGCGGACGGGCGGATTGGAGGACCTCAGTGGTGGGTCTCGGCCGGGTTGGAGGACCTCAGCGGTGGGTCTCGAGCGGACGGGCGGGCTGGAGGACCTCAACGGCGGGTCTCGAGCGGACGGGCGGACTGGAAGACCTCAGCGGTGGGCCACGAGCGGACGGGCGGACTGGAGGACCTCAGCGGTGGGTCTTGAGCGGTCTGGAGGACCTTAGCGGTGGGCATTGAGCGGACGGGCGGGCTGGAGGACCTCAGCGGTGAGTCTTGAGCAGACGGGCGGGCTGGAGGACCTCAGCGGTGGGTCTTGAGCGGACGGGCGGGCTGGAGGACCTCAGCGGTGGGTCTTGAGCGGACGGGCGGGCTGGAGGACCTCAACGGTGGGTCTTGAGCAGACGGGCGGGCTGGAGGACCTCAGCGGTGGGTCTCGAGCTGACGGGCGGGCTGGAGGACCTCAGCGGTGGGTCTCGGGCGGGCGGGCGGGCGCCGCTGACGGGCTCAGGTAGACGGCAGTTGCCGCTCACGCCGGTGCTGCGACTACCGGGGATATTTGATTGAATTTCGGTGCACACGGTGCAGATTGAAAGTCTTATTGCGCATAGACGTGCGATTTTAAGCGGCGGCGTGGCTCAAGAGTCTCGTTGGTATTGTAGTGTTCTGCTCGGGAGCGTAGGTGTTCGTGCAGCCCGGGCTCTGACGCGACCGTCGATTGCTTTGCAGGCAAGGACGTGGAAGGTTATGAGATGAAGCTGGGCTGGGGCAAGGGCGTGCCCATCCCGCCACAGCCCATCTACATTCCGCCGGCGCTGATTGAGGTCTCGAAGCCGCCGCCGCCCTCCGGGCTGCCCTTCAACGCCCAGCCGCGCAAGAAAGACAAGGAGAAGGTACACGGCCCCGCCGCCGTCCGACCGCCACCCTCCCCGCTCCGTCATCCGCTCCGCTCGACTGTCTCGCGCTCTCGCTGTCTGCCGCCGCCGCGAGCCGCCTTCTCGGGGGCCATGGGGGCGGGCCGTGGCCGGGGGCGCGTCTCCGCCCCGGCGTGCGTGGGGTGGGACGGGGTGCGGGTGGGGTTGAGCCGTCGGGGCGGCGGCGTGGCGGTGTCTCCCCCGCGCGTCTGCGTGTCTGTCTGTGTGCGCCGGCCGGCTGCGCGGTGCGCCCCGTTGACCCGCTGCCCGATGTTACATAGTTACCGCTGAGTGACCAGATGCCCGAGGACCCGGCGGCCATGGAGCAGTTCAACAAGGTAACAGCGCCACCCGCGGTCGTCTCCGGAGAGGCGCCGCGCCGGCCTGAGTTGTCACGTGCTGGCCGCACCCGGCCAGGACGCCCCGGCTGCTGTCCTGTCGGGACAAATACGCGCCTCCACTTGCCATGCCTGGTTTGCTCTCCGCCACTGATTGCTCTTTCCTCTCTTCCTCATGCATCCTCTGCTCCTAACAGTCCTTCCAGCCTCGCTGCCCATGCATTTCCAGCTTTCCCTCCGCTCTCCCACTTGCACATGTTTCGTGATCAGACTTGTGCTTGATGCCGGAACGATTCCGTTGGCCCCACTCTGCGACCATCTCTCGCGAACCGGGAACGAAGGCATGCAAACAACGGCTGTGGAATTCCAGCGGCGTTAGCTGTGGACCCCCACGCCCCCAGCCGCGCCATCGGCAGCTCTCGCTGCGTAGGGCTCAGTTTAGGATGGGACCAGAGGCCAGATTGTGACGTCACGAAGCACATGTCTGGTCTTAACACTGCTACATCGAATCGTGTGAACCCATTTGAAGCAGACCTGTTGACGCCGTTGGCAGCACACGGTCAGATCCAAGGATTTGAAAGCACTTGAATCACTCTAGTGCAGATTTTGTCGTTCAGCACTTCCGTTGGTATATGTCGGGTGTGCTGTGTGGGGTGGCGGAAAATTCTCGGGATTTGTTTGCTATTTTAAGCGATGGGCTCTTTTTGCGCGTCGTATTTCCGTGCGTACAGTTGTGTTTTGGTCATTTCCCCACCAATGTGTTTACTGGTCAGGCTTTTATCTTTGTACTTGAAATAACCTGCGGGTTAAGACGTAGTGTTGTAATGTCTCTCGCTGATGTTTTTCTTCAGATGTTGCAAAGAGCCGTTGTCAAAGTTGTCATCCCTACAGAAAGGTAAATGGTCTCACCATTGGTGCCAGGAGCCGAGCGGTAAGTTGCTCCCGCCCGGCCCAGTTTGACCTTGCTGACCCTGTCCCTGACACGGTCACGTGCCAGCGCGCGAGAGAACGGGCCGCGGCCCCCCGGCTGGGCCAGCGCTGGAGGTGCTGCCGCTCACCTGCCAAAGTCTGCCCCCCCCCCCAAAATGACGAGCTTTTGTAAATTTGTTTTTGCGCACGGCTGTGAAAGTCAAATCGCTCAGTCAGCGGCCGGCTGGGATATATTCCCTCCTGAGGAGGACATCTCCGAGGAAATACTGCCGACGATTTCGATCTGGCGTCGGCGGCGGCGACGGGTTGACCCCGACCTCTGGCACGTGGCCCGGTCGTGACGGGTCCCAGTCCTTGGTAACGTTTGGAGCCGGGCGGGGCGGGAGCCAGTGCGTCACTGTCGACGTCGCGCCGCAACCGCCGCAGCCGTCCCGTGACGTCACACGCCGACCGACGCCGTCAGCTGATGGTTTCGTGAACTCCCCACCTTAGAGAGCTAAGGCGGACAGCGGCAAAGGTGTTTGAAACGGACTATTTCTAGTGTGCGCATTTATGTGTGCTTTTGGCATTGATGATATTTGCCAGGATGGTCTCTGCAATGCGTTCAGTCGCGTGATAAAGGCTAGAGGTGTTCCATATGTGAGTTGTTGATGTCAGGTGTTGTGGTTCATCCTAGCATAAACATGGTATTTTTTGTCGTGCACATCTATGCAACTTAAATGTATCGGCTTTATTGCCGTTTGGACTTGACATATGTCAGCTGCCCTCTGTCCCAGCTGTGGCTCCTACATCCCCCCCCCCCCCCCCCCTCCCGCCCCTCTCGCTCCCTGGCTACACACACTCATATTTTCCCACATCTCATTATGAATGCTCCCATCTCTGTTTGTCCGATTCAGAGATTCTTTCTTAAAGCTTGGAATGCATCTGGCGATGCTTTTGCACCACGCTATTCAGAAACATCCATTGTTGCCGTCATAGCCAGTTCGCCGCTACTGGCGACTATTGGTTGTCGTCACCATTTTGGACTTAAGTACAAAGCTCGTGAAAACAACTTTGTTCGCCGCACGATTCGTTTCACTGTGTGTTGTGCGGCGGATTATCCCAAGCTTCGACGACGTATAAACACAGGCTTCGTCTGCCAAAACCACGCTAAAAAGTGTTGCATCGCCTGACTTCTGTGCCTCACCCGCATATTTAGGTCCCGCTGATGCGTTCCAGGCGCAGCGCTCCTCCACACCCTGTAACATGTGATTTCCTACTGACCCCTTTTCGTCGCGTCTTTCCCGCGTCCCCCACTAACACATCCTCCAGCCGCGCGGCTCGTTACCCGCACCTCCTCACCGCCTGCCGTGCTTCCTGCCGTCCGCTGGGAGCTCACCGCCGCGGCCGCCGGCCCCTGAGCGGCGGCCCCTGGCCGGCCAGCAGGGGCCGCGGGACGAGCGCATGCCTCTCTGTCTGCCGCAGGGCCAAGCTGATGGTCGTCCACCGCATGGTGGAGTTCGTGGTCCGCGAGGGACCGCTCTTCGAGGCCATGATCATGAACAAAGAGATCGACAACGACATGTACAGGTGGGCACGATGAAGTGTCCGTCTGCGTGTTTTCTCGAGGATCCGAGGCCCATTCGGTCCGAGAGGAGCTTCACTAGACCCAACTTTTCCACCGGGGTGTGGTGAGGCGAGTGACCCGGGTCCGGCGGGTGATGCCGTACGCCCCACTCCACGGGCTGCGCCGCAGGCCGCGGAACGACCGCTCCTCCTCCGAACTAACGCGTCGCTCCGGCGCCGCCAGGTTTCTGTTTGAAAACCAGAGCGCCGATCACATCTACTACCGCTGGAAACTGTACAGCCTGCTGCACGGCGACTCGCCGCAGCGCTGGCGCACGGACGAGTTCCGCATGTTCAAGGGTGAGTCGCGCCGCCGTCCGGCCCGTCGCCGCCCGGCCCGCTGCCGCCCGGCCCGCCGCCGCCGGCGGGCCGCGTCCTCGCCTCTCCCCGCCCTCCTGCCTCCTCGGACGTAGCGGGGCTCCTCACACGCTGCTCTCAGGTCGGCGGGGATGTGATGCGGTGTGCGTGTCTTTGCGTGTATAGAGGGGGAGGAGGGGATGCGAAGGAGTTCATTTGTGGGACCCTGGTTGGGTGGAGTTTTCGAGAATGCATTTCATTGCGTTGTTTTCCTCTTGCAAGCGTGTCGGTGTCCGATTCCTTCGCCAGAGCGCGCAACCCAGCCAGTTACGGCGGTCAGGGGGCCGAATGGTGGCGTTATGAGTTGTGTGAGCGACATCAGCAGGAGGATGGGGGCTCCACGATGACTATGTGTGTGTCCCACATCATGGGCTGCTGCCGTAAGGTCTCATCTGATCACGGCCGTCAGCCCATCGTCGTCGGCCGCGTCGTCCGTCTCGCCGCGTCCCTTCATCCTCCCTGACGCTCTAGTCCTGATGCACGGGTCCGAATCCAGCGCATAGCGTGGAGCTTCGCCGCTCCCACTGGCGACAGCCGGCGTGGAGCGTGTGCCGTCAGCAGCGGGACGCCCACCCATGTCCGTGACTACTGGAGCGGGTCGCCATGGGGCCGCGCCCGCGCCAGCGCCAGTCGCCGGCGGGTGTCCGCGGGCCGGCGCGCGGTGAGCGGTCAATGACTGTGCTTTCTGCCCTCTCGCCAACAGGCGGCTCCGTGTGGAAGCCGCCCCCATGAACCCGTACATGATGGACCGCGACCACCACAAGAAGCCGGAGCCGAGTCGAAGCGCAACAAGCTGCTCTCAGCGTCGTGAGTTGCGTCTGGCGGGGGCGGGGCCGGGGCCGGGGCCGGGGCCGGGGCCGGGGCCGGGGGCGAGGGCGGGGACGGGTACAGGGACGGCCGCTGGCTGCTCTGCGTAGGCCGGTCAGCAGGGAGGCGTCAGTGCGCTGTCAGCATTGTTTTGTCTGGAATAGCGTCACGTCTGGCACATGAGTGCACCTGGGGGGGCCCAGCTGTCTCGCAGCTGATTCTCTTGCTGTGCGCGGCGTACAGCGCTGAACGGTTAACGCCGGGAATCGCGAACTCTTCGAGGCATGCTCCCTCGAATGCGAAAAGCAAGCGGCGGATGTCAAAGGTGTCAAATGAATCGAGCTTCATCAGTCTTCCTTCCAACGGGAATACGGGCCAGTGACTAGCTGGTGCGTACTTCTCTGCTGTTCACTCACAAACACAGGCATCTCGTGTAATTTAAGGTCACATCGTCTTATTTTCGAGTGCTGCCGTTGTGAATGTCGCGATGGGAATCTACTTGACGTCACTGTACGTGCTCGGTAGCCTTGTAGCCCTTAATCGGGCTTGTTGACCCTTGCGCCTTATGCGCGTTTTGTATGTTCCCGATGTCAAGCGCGGGCTGCTTCATATCAAACGCGGTCCATTCACCGACCGTCTTCCGCTGTCGCTCCGACCAGGTCCTTGCTGTATGGCAGATCATAGCCGCCCAGGTTGAAGTCGCCGCGTCCCCACTGGTCATTGCTAGAATTCAAGTTCGTACAACATGCTTGATCCATGTGTGCGAGTTGCATTTTCATTTATGTTCCAAATCGCCGCGTGGGACAATCTCCCTGTCCGTATATATATATATATATATATATATATATATATATATATATATATATATATATATATATATATATACATCAGCATAGTATGCTGGCGTTATTGGCTGATGCAGGTTTGGGACGTTCCTTTTTCCAATTCTTTTTCTCAATTATTGGCATTTTGGGACGTTTCTTTCGTTGGTTCAAGGCAAGCACTTTTTGTTTTGTCCCGGCTGTTTTTTCGGTCTGCGAAGCTATCTTTCATGTGTGTTGCCGCGCCTGTCGTACGTAAACGCCATCAACTTTAACATCATCCGAGTTAGTTTATTGCGGGCAGTTCTCATCTCAACATTATGAAGGCCTGAGAGTTTTAGAACTCGAGTAAGGCTTGGCCGTAAAGATAGCATTTGAAGGAGCTTTACCAGACGCCTGTAACATCTGTTCAAATGCGCGATCCCTCCCATCCGCAAACAACAGCCTCTTTGTATGGCGGCCTTGGCGCACAGATTGCTCGCCACAGTTTACTTGCCACAGTCCAAAACAAAGCCCTCAAGCCAGTTCGCTGAAGTGGACTGGATGATCATGATCGTTGTTTTTCCCATATATACCGGGGCATCTTTGGGCTCCGGAGCGCCTATTATGAACGCCAGCGTGGCCACGATGTGCGCTACAGCCGCACGCCTCCGTATCTCCGTGGAGTCGGGAGCGCCCCTGTTCGCTCCTGGCGTTACCCTGGAGACGTATGCCGCATTCCGCTCAAGCCAGACGGGGTCTCTGGAATGCGGTGTGGAGAATGATGTGCAGACATGCACCGTAGGGTTTATGTTATGCAAGTGAATCGATGCGGAACATAATTGCGCGGGAAGGAGCTGATTGTGTTGTTCGATGAAATTGTCTTTCTTCCAAGAGCACCGCAACCATAGTGCCGGGTAATGAAAATAGTTGTTTGATGAAGCAGCGCTGGGAGAAAGAGTTCATGTGGACGATGTACAGGCTCGTTTCGTGTCACATTACACGGCAATTGGGTGGGACGTCCGAGGCTGTATGACGCGTAGGTCATTGTCGCCTTAGGTAAGACGTCGTGTCGGCCGGAAGCCATGCCGAGGACAGGGCGCGGGACACCGACGCCGTATCACCCGAAGAGATCCACGCGCCCTGGGTGACGCTGCAGGAGACCGAGGGGTGGGAGCGCTGCGTTCTCTATCAAGAGATTAGGGTTCAGTTTCCGTCGCAGCCGGCCACGAACATCCGCGGGCGCGGACGTTCGCCAGCTGTTCACCAGCTGTTCGTGACCGTGTCGCGACTCGGCGGGCTTTGCCGCGTGACGCGACGCAGCCGGCCCGGCGGGCCGCCGCTGACGCCGAGCACGCGCGCCCGGCAGGCAGCGGGTGCGGTTCGAGTCCCAGCTGCGGCACATCGCGCCCGAGCGGGACGTCATCGCCGAGATCATGGTCTGGTGCCTGGACCACGCCGACAGCGCCGAGGAGATCTGCCTCTGCATCACCGAGGCGCTCTCCACCGCCAGCAGCCGGCTCACGTCCAAGGTGAGGCGGCTCCGGCGTGTTTGGGGATGGCGGTGGTATAGTGGTTAAGGCGCTCGGTTCCGGACGTGTCGGTCTCGGGTTCGAGTCCGGCCATGTCATCGCCACATCTCTCATGATACCTAATAAAGGCATCCATCATGAAATGGCATTGTCAGTCGGTGAGGCGTGAAGCCCTAATGGTTGCTATTAATGAAGAGTATCCCGCTGAAGGTTTGTTTTGGTAATTTTTAATGATGGCGAAGCGCTTAGGAACAACGCCCTAATTTACGGCGTTTCATTTTATCACGATGATGTACAAGCTGTTTAATGAAGCATGGTGCGGTATCTATCTATATATATATATATATATATATATATATATATATATATATATATATATATATACGAACACATAAATGCTATGATAAAACACTATTATACTATATGTTGATACTTATCCAACATAACTCAGTGTGAATAGGTGTTACATGTGGTTTATTAGACTCCCATCCTCGTCCTTCATCTCTTGGAAATGCGCTGCATTGGTTCGGTATCACTGCGCGACCGATTGGACGCAATTTTCGTCCTGTAATATATATAATTTGTGATGCGGCTACGAGCTGAAAGGTCTGTTATCGCTGTGAGCCCAGGGACACGCCGCCCCGCGGCCAATGATGGGGTATTGCTCAGGATTGCCTGCAGATGCTGTTGACATAACGTTATTAAACGCCATCGTAAAACAGTTTTCATTTCACCCTTGTTTGGTCCAGCGCTTGAGATATTTGTGCGGGTACACTCAACCGTACGTCGTTTTATTGGCTCCCCGGCGGGCTTTGGGTCGCGGCGCCCAGTGTAGCGACCACTTTTAGTAAATCTCCTGACGTGCCTCTGGCTATCTCCAAAATCCTGCGCGAGAACGTAAGTTGTAAGCTTTCAAATAGGCCTGTTTTTCGTGCATCTCTGACACAGAGCGGTATCGCGGCCGCTCGGTTTGCGGGCCCACGACCGGCCCCGGTCCCACCCGCCCGCCGGCCGAGCGCCGGGGTTACTGTGCGCCGCCGGTTCGGCCGTCCGTCCTCGTTGGGGCCGCCGACCCGCCAGCGCGGCCGCGGCACGTGCCGGGCGTGCGCCGTTACGGCCGGCCGTGCCGCCGCCGCCGCCGCGCCGGAGCCGGGTCGCCGGGCTGCCGCGGGGTTGACCTCGGCGACCCCTGGGTCGCGGCTCGCTGCGGCCGCGCGCCGCGCCGGGCTGGCGATGAGAAGGCGGCGGCCAGTGCGGTCACCGGGCCTGCGCACGGCCGCGTGTTTGATGACGAGAGCAGGGTGGATGTTGTGTGGCGGATGATGGTTTGGCTCCAGTTTGGATGTGTGTGTGGTAAGTGGTCGACGAATGTCGCCCTCACGAGGCGATGTTGTCTTGATCGAATAAGCATTTCAGACGTCCGTTATCGACGTAGGATAGCTGTTCATCTTCACGTGTTTCCACGCTGTCAAATGCTGTAGGCTGTCGTCGTTCGAGTGTTTCGTTTTTGCCCGAAAATCGTGCAATATTCGACGGGCTTCCCCAGTTCCTGACATTGTTGACGAATTTCGTTTTTATTCAACATGAGACGTCCAATGTGATCCCCTAACGCACTTGATACGCCCCCAGCAGCCGCGTCCTGCGGCGAGTCGTGGCTCGCCAGCCAGTGGCCGTACTGCAGTCGGCTGCAGTCGGCATTCCTCGCCCTGTGTCGATCGGTCTCCCCCGCTGACCGGTGTGCACCCTGCGGCAGATCTCGCGTCTGTACCTGGTCTCCGACATTCTGCACAACTGCACGGTTAAGGTGGCCAACGCCTCCAAGTTCCGCAAATGGTAGGTGGGTGGGGAGCGATGGCGGGCGATCCGCGCCAAGCGCGGTCTGGGCGCTGCGTGAGCCGCCGGCGACCTGTGGCTGCCCTCGAGCGGGTCGCGACAGATGTGAGAGGTATCCCGCGGGAGCGCGGGCGGCCGCGTGGTGTCCGGAGGGTGATGGGTACCAGCGGGCGAGATTGCGGGTCGGCCTGTGACGGGAGTTGCCATCTCTGACGGGGCGGGAGGCGCCTGGCTCGTGCGCACCGCGCTTGCTGAGATACGCGGCGCTCGCTCGCGGGCTTGCTCGGGTATCTGCACGTCGAGGAAGGACGCGCAGGCCTGTCACGGGAGCTCCGTCCGGGCCACCGTTTTGTCCGAACTGTCTGAGTTGCGGGCGGTGTCCGATCCACGGGCGCGCCGCCGCCGCCGCCGCCGCCGCCGCCGCTGCCGATGCTGCGCGGGGTCAGCGATGCCAGACGCGCGCGGTCGCCTGCGTCGGCCGGCTCTCGGCGGCGCCGGTCGGGTCTCACGCGGCCAGCGTGACCCCGCTGCGGTGACGGCCGGCGGGGGCGGCCCCGCAGGGACGTGGCGGCTCCGCGCCAATGAATACGGAAAATGGTTCGAGCTCACCATGGATGGGGCTCGGTAATGAAAGCCCATCTCGCGTGGGACTCACTGAGTGAGACCTCAGGGTTGGTTCCCGTTCGTTTTAATCTCTTCCCGGAAAAGTTTGTTGTTACCCCATGTGTTTCTGTGGGGACGGATATTTGTTCCTGGTTATTGAAATATGAAGGCGCCTTTGCGCATATTTCAGTAAGTGATGGTATTGAAGCTTTCAAATGTGTGAAGAAAGCAAATGCATCATTTGAACGGTGCATTTCTGTTACCTGTAGATGTATTCCTAATTATGTGTACGGCTTTAGTGATACGACCCCGGTCGTCGTCGTTCACAGTCCGAGCAGGTGGGGGGGGGGGGGGGGGGGGGGGGGGGGGTGGCTATGATGGGACAGGGAGACAGGCGCATGCGTGTCATAGGAGGGGGGGGGGGGGGGGGGGGGTGTCGGCAGGGGTCTTTTTCGCATGGCAGCAAAGGCGAATAATTATTTGTTAGGAGGCATTATTCGTGAGGATAGGACTATGAACCATCGGATCGGGCGAACCTTCCTTGACTTCTTCACTTTTCCCGATCAGTTTCCCACCAAAACGCACCCATTCCTGTCGCCTCCATCCGTGCGTGCGAGATACCTCCATGCTTTCGAGTGGCTGCTCTTCCACTTCGTGCGGATCACTTTCCTACACCGCCAATGCAAAAGAAAAAGCAACAGCAATGGGCTAAAATGCATCACGCAGCACGTGCCATATGCCAGCTTTCGGCCGCGCGCGCACGAAAACTTTGGCTTTAAACCGCACAGACCATGACCGATAAGTACTACGAGCGGTCAAAGCCTCATGCTCGCTGAACGGCGGGTCACGGAAAGTGTGGCGTCGAACTGACATCTTCAACACAGTTGCCTCCATTGCTGAGTTCCATAGCATTCCTCAGATTCCAATCGGGAGCACATGATCTAGAAGTTAGCGCACCCTGAATACTCAGTGCTCATCACCCTGTGAAGCGTAGAGATTGGAACCACGTCTCGGTAGTGAAGCGGCCGCGCGCCCTGGCCCGGCACTTATTCAGCTCTTCCACCATTCGACAACAACAGGATTGTATCGTCTTATTACGCGCACGTCTCGGGCAGCGCGCCAAACAAGCCAATCGGATGAACACCGCGGCCTATGAGTTGTACCATCAGTAGGCTGGTGGGACCGCAACGAACAAACCGCGTGGCGGGATGCGGAGATGCATCGTCGGCGCGATGATCTCATCGATGATCTCATGCGATCTCTGCGATGATCTCATCGCATCGCGATGCGATGCGATGATCTCGAACAGATCTCCGTCATGCGAACTTAATTGCTCTGTAAGAGTTTGAGTTACTACGTTATCTTAGAAAGCCTTGCGACAAGAAAGCTCATTTTATGTGACTAAATAGCATAATGCGGCCAATCATCCGTACCTCAGACACCAGTCAACCCATATGGCACGGATATATTTGCAGCAACGTGTGGCCGTCAGCTTTTCGAGTAGTTTGGTACACCCACGGGTCCTCGTGGAGAAAGAGGCAGCAATAGGTCATGTTGCGCTTATTAGCAATGCATAGGTTTTGTTTTGCGACGACGCACGGAACACGTTATTTTGCATCAGCGGCATAAAAGGATAGATGGGCAGCGATAAATCGGGTTGTGAACATCCGCCTGTGCAGTATGACAGGATAACATGGTCCGTGGCGGCGGGACTGTGGGGGTCAGGCGGCGGCGGGACCACGTGGGAGTCGGGCGGCGGCGTCCTCAGTGGCGGCGGGACCACGTGAGAGTCGGGCGGCGGCATACTCAGTGGCAGCGGGACCGAGGGAGACGGGCGGCGGCATACTCAGTGGCGGCGGGACCGAGGGAGACGGGCGGCGGCGTCCCCAGTAGTGGCGGGACAGTGGGCGGCGGCGTCCACAGCGGCGGCGGGACCGTGGGAGTCGGGCGGCGGCGTCCCCAGTAGTGGCGGGACCGTGGGCGGCGGCGTCCTCAGTGGTGGCGGGACCGAGGGAGACGGGCGGCGGCGTCCCCAGTAGTGGCGGGACCGTGGGCGGCGGCGTCCTCAGTGGCGGCGGGACCGAGGGAGACGGGCGGCGGCGTCCCCAGTAGTGGCGGGACAGTGGGCGGCGGCGTCCTCAGCGGCGGCGGGACCGTAGGAGTCGGGCGGCAGCGTCCTCAGTGGCGGTGGCACCGTGGGAGTCGGGCGGCGGCGCGGCGTCGACAGGCTCGCGTCGGCCGCCGCCCGCTCCGCGACCGCGGTCCTGCCGCCCGTGTCGGCCTCCAGCCCATCAGTCGCCCCCGCCCGCCCCGCAAATGGGCCGTCAAATCGAGCGGCGGCGCGTGCGAGTGGCACGCGGCGATTGGCCGTCGGCGCCGCCGTCGACCGGAACTGCGAAATGGATGGGGTAACGCGCGCCGCCTCGGCGCGACACGTTTTTCTCTCGCCCCGGCGCACTCCGATGGCGTGCGGTTAAAGCGGAGCAACTTACATAAGCGCAGAAGAAAACACGCTTAGTCGTCTTGGCTGGAGGCTGTATATTGAAGTGATAGATTGCCACCCAATGTCATAAAGGCAAGCTGTGATTGCATCCAGCGGCAAGGGCTTTGTGTCCCAAAAGCGCGCATTGTTTGGTTACGCTTCCACGTAGCTGTAAGATGCTAGCAGATGCTGACCAATGAAGTGCGGTCGAGCATAAGCCGCCCTGTTCTGGGTGTCTTGCCAGCCGAGGAGACGCTCCCTGTTCGTCGCAAACTAAAAGGACACACGCGAAGTTAGATGCAGAAGTGGAAGCTCTCCTGCGGTGCCCACGGGCCGCGCGCAACGAGCTGTCAGCGACACAATTTGAACCCATAGGTAGCCTTACAGTAAACATGACGTCGCTGAATAACTGTTGACCTTTATTCCACTGAGTACTTATCGCGGTGTCATGAATTGCGAGGAGCATCGTTACCATTTCATCCAAGGTGCACGCGTCGTGCTGGGGGCACTCATCGCGCGTTCCGGGGCATCCCATAGCCCACGAGATCGACAGTGCTCTCGGCCGCCGCCGCGGGGTCGGTAGTCACCGTCCAGCTGGCTGGACACGACGGGGAGAAAAAGAGGGAGAGGGAGATGGAGAGGGAAAGAGATAGAGGGGGAGGGAGGGGAGGGAGAGAGAGAGAGGACGAGGAGGGAGAGAGAGGGGGAGGAGGGAGAGAGAGAGAGGGAGGAGGAGGGAGAGAGATGGAGGAGAAGGGAGAGGAGAGAGAGAGAGAGGGAGGAGGAGGGAGAGAGATGGAGGAGAAGGGAGAGAGATAGAGGAGAAGGGAGAGGAGATGGAGGAGAAGGGAGAGGGAGGGAGGAGCGAGGGAGGGAGGGAGGGAGGGAGGGAGGGAGGGAGGGAGGGAGGGGAGGGAGGGAGGGAGGGAGGGAGGGAGGAGGGGGGAGGCGAGAGAGGAGCGAGAGAGAGAGCGAGAGCGAGAGAGCGATGAGAGCGAGCGAGAGAGCGAGAGGGACGAGAGAGAGAGAGGAGAGAGAGAGAGGAGAGCGAGAGAGAGAGAGCGAGG